AGGTTGATTTCGACGATATTCGGTGTTTATTTGGTGGAGTCGGATGGCTTCGGCACTAATATCCCCTGCCAGGATTACTATATCTGTCCTTTTTTCTAACCGAAGCATTGAATTTAGAAAGCGATTGTTTTTATTTATTTTTCTAGGTAATAGTTTAGACACGGAACAATGGCTGGGACACTGGCCGATGGGTTGATCGCACTGCATCGTTCAGTGGGTGGAGAGGGGTGTGGTGGAGGTCCGGTGAGCGAAGAGCCCTATGGGCGAATGATACTTCCTGGTTGCTCAACCTGAAGGTTATATGGTTGAGGTTCCCCACGCTGGACGCTTTACTCAAGAGCCTGGCCCTGGTTCTTGACTCAAAATTTTGAACCACGAGGTAGCGATTGTTAGGGTTTTCTTGGGGAACCATACCCGGAGCCAATCACTCAAAACTCTGACCCACTTGTCTGCAATGGCCCGGACTAGCCTGAAGACGCAGGGAGTAAGACATAACTGTCGGAAACCCAATGCGGCTGCACACAGCAGGTGCTTTTTCAGTAGCACCAGTCTATTGGGTTTTAAAAGTAGATCGACCATACTAGATAATTCGCCAGCGGTCACGGTCGACCGTTGGGGGATCGGTGTGTGCGGTTTTTAGGGTCGACCCTTTCTAACCCATCCTTCCTCGGGAGGAAGGCAGCATCGCGTTACTGTCTTCACACTCCTATCATAGGAAACAGTACAACTTTACCTCCAGACCTCGTGATAGGATGGGGGGGCGAGATGGACCGAGTGGTTAGAGCGCGAATTTACTGACCGGAAGGTCCGTGGTTTGAACACCACCTTCCTCTCGACTTCCTCTGTCTAGGCTTGGGCAACCTGGGAGTATCCCAGCCCTCGTGCTTCCTTCGGGTAGCATGGCAGCTAGACATTGAAAGGGTGCTGCAGCTAAACGATTTCTTTTTTGTGATAGGATTTCTCGCAGTACGATGATTTGCTGTCCTTCGTCGGGCTGCTCACCGCTGGCCTTCCTGGTATGGTTGAATCTTGTGGAACTGAGTTTCAGTTAATGTAGCCCGCAGGTTCATTGCAGCACAGAAGCACGATCACAACAAGATGGCAGCTCTCTGGCGGAAGTGGGGGCAGCAGACAACCTATAGTGTGTCCATGTCCCTTAATTCAAGGGCGATTTTATCCTGTCGGTCAGTAGCTCAATGGATAATGCTTCGGAAGTCGGCATAATCTGTTTCTTATATTCGTATACTTTTAATACGGCAGTGAAGCATCAGTGTTGAACACTGATGTCATGCTGTCGATGATGATGTATACTTTTAACCCTGTGAGAGAAAGCGGGTGAATAACGTGTGACTTAATCTACCTGCCTTATTCCTTACGATGCGTTACCGAAATCTACCATAATTGGCTATGGATGATGGTGACACGGTGGATAATAGCTAAAAACTGGACCTTACTGTTGCTGTGTGACTGGTGTGTGATTCGTTATTTTTCATTACCCGGCGTGGTTTCGTGTTGCTACTGTGATTTCATAGTTGGTATGGTGCTGAATAGAGCAGATACAAGGTTAATTAACAGTACAAGATGAAAGATAATACATTCAGAGGATTAGATAGATGATTCACAAGCTTCATTCACAGAAGGATGTCCCCAAATATGGCGCAGAATTCCAAAGGTTTTATGTTGGTAGTTGTGTTACGTGTGCACCCAGCTTTCTATATCACTTTGATACAATAAATGTTGGAGATGGATGGAATATCTTCCACTACGTGGTACTAACGGAGTTTGATAGGTGTGTTTAACTGGGGTGAAACCTTCATCTGTGCCTGAAGTTAGTATACAGTCGTTTTGGAAGTGGAGAACATGTATACTGTCTTTGATCGATAAGCGCAGTCTCCTTGTACGCCTATTGTGAGCATTCCGTTTGGCTAAAATGCAGGTAGCTTATGGTTTTCCACTCCAGTTCACCTTACTTGGTCATCATCTTCCATCAGGCCTATGAGTCTTGTGCAGTTGCCTTGACCGTATCGGTTGGTCCTTCTACAGCCAGTATTTTCAACAGCTTAAAGCAAAGCTCTGTTAAGACTTTAATACTCTGATTGAAGCTGACATCGTCTTTTGCCAGTGTGTACGCCATTCGGACCGCAACGCCAGTGAAAATCATATATGACACTTCCAAGTTGGACTTGCACCCGTAAATCTTTGACCGAGGAACCGAGCATCCAATCCTTGAGCTAATATTTGTACCTGTTTGCGTCAGTCGTCTTGCTTCAGCGTGTTTATTTTCTCTGCCACTTTGGTGTTGATTCGCAGTTTATGTGATACGTTTGCTATACAAATGGGTGACATGCGAATCGGACTTGCCGGTCGGCAGTGGTCAAACCACAGGACAACCTGAGCTTAGAAAGAATTCACAGACGGTCTACACGGAACCGAATGTGGCGAATATGAGATAGAAAGTGGGCCCGTGATTCGAGTCTATCCCGACAGCTGTACAGTTCCGGCTTTTCAGTGGAACCTTGCACGATGCCTCGAAAAAGGCCAGCTGGTTGTGATACGTGTCTACCTTCTTCCTAATTTTGGAAAGGTGTTGTTTTGCCTTGTACTGGTTGATATTTTATTTGTAAGCCATAAACTGTGCACAAGTTACAAAGTGATCCCACTCCCCGAGGAAGAACGTATTGGTATGGGTAAGATACACATTGGGGAGTGATAGCCGGAAGTGAAGTACTGTAAACTGATGATGATGCATTTGTTAGGAGCGCCGACTGCTAATGGTTTAAGTGAAAGGATCGCTTTAGATGCGCGACCAGACCATGTCCCTAACCACCGATGTTACCGATCTCATGGATCTTGCCAACACAACGGAGTTGGTGACTTGTAACTTGGAGCTCGAAATAACTCGCTGGTTAAGACGCCAACCTACTGAGCTCAAGGTCCATGATTCGAACCTAGCCGCAGCATCTCGACTGTTCTTGTCTACACTTGGGCAACCTGGCAGCATCTCAGTCCTCTTGCATGACAGCTAGGCACTGGAAGGGTGTCACAACTGAACGATTATTTTATTTATTTTTTAACCTCAAGTCGGGATCTTATCTTCCTTATACAGTTTCCCCTTTGTACACGCCTGAGTACAAACAACTGCAAGTCAATCTTAGCCAGGCGCACCCCTATTATGTGAGTTCATCTATCATGCGGAAGTCATTCGACATGCTTTTGTACCACCGACTTTCGATAAAGCCGTCTGTCTGTGTAGTGTCGACACTGATGTTTTCTAACACTTACCTACTCAGTTTGCCACGTTGCCGACAGCACTAGTTTGGAACCTGCGTGCGATGTGTTGTTCTGTAATGGAGTGTTATCCGTCCTCCAATGCCTTTGGTCACTCTCTTTTTGCACTTTAAGGTCTTGTCGGATCCTGAGAAGCGGAAAATCTATGATCAGTATGGCAAAGAAGGTTTGAAACGCCATGGAAGCGGTGCTCCGCACCATGATCCATTCGCCAGCTTCTTTGGTTTTGGATTTGACTTCGGAGGTGGTCGTGGAGGCTCTGAGGAGGTCGCACGGGGAGACGATTTGGTTGTTGACCTTTGGGTCACTCTGGAGGAACTTTATGTCGGTGACTTTGTCGAAATCTCACGTGTCAAGTTGGACAAGAAAAATACCAAGGGGACACGCAAATGTCGTTGTCGTAGGGAAATGCGCACCACCATGCTCGGACCTGGCCAATTCCAGATGCATCAGGTTGAAGTTTGTGACGACTGTCCAAATGTTGAGTGAGTCCTTTTCAACTTTGCACTGTGATTTAGCCGTTCTGTAACGATTGTTTGTTTATATTTGTAATGGAATTGGCCAGTGAATTTCAGTAGAAAAAAGTCGTTCATCTGTAACACCCTTCCGATGCCTGGCTGCCATGCCAACGGAAGGAGGCACGAGGGCTGGGATACTGTCAAGTTGCCCAAGTCTAGACTGGATAAGTCGAGATGCCTAGATCAGGTTCGAACCACGGATCGTTCATCTCACCCTTCCGATGCCTGGCTGCCATGCCAACGGAAGGAGGCACGAGGGCTGGGATACTGTCAAGTTGCCCAAGTCTAGACAGACTGAGTAGAGGGGCAGAGGTGGGAACCCGAACCATGGACCATCCGGTCAGTAAATCCGCAATCTAACTGGTCGAGCCATCTCACCCCCGGTAGGAGAGTTGGTACAGGGACACCCGGACACAACCACACTGGCAAGCGTACAAACATAACGGTGCGTAGTTGTGATGAAGCATGCGAGTAGTCTATGGTCTGGTGCCAAAACTCCACCCACGCATCCGATGGAAGGTGAAGTTTCTTACAAAAATTATGGAACCGTCTTGCAATGTTCGTTTAATATTGTCTATTGGTCAATGAACGTCCAGGAGAGTTTAAGAGAACGCACGAAAATGTCCACTTCTCAAAAACTGTACAGATGAGTTGTTCCATTCTGTGTCTATTGGCTGATGTATGCTTATTTAATGTTTGCTAATAAACAGCTTTGCTGTGAAGAGTTTTCCTTCTTTCAACCAGTGCCAATCAGGACCACCACTTTTACAAGGATAATGGCTGGTACGAAGACCATGATGTAGACAAAACAAGTAGGAATCAATGAGCACTCAGGTGAAGTCGGCTAGAGAATGAGGAACTCATCAAGTAGAAAAATATCTAACCTAACTCAAGTAGTATCCTTTAATTATCAGCTCATGTTACAAAGGCAGGACATTTGTGCTTTTCTGCATGGTGCGATTTATGAGGCATTCACAACTGTTGGTGTCATAATAAACAGTCTGGTGAGCGCTTGCCAATGATCCTGCGTATCCATGCTGAAGTGATTTCAAATAGCTCCCATGCTTTCAGTACGAGTCGCTTAGATCTTAGCCATGGCATCAACTAGGCCTACATAGTAGCCTCATTTTCAGCTTCTCACTTGTTCAGGAATGGAAACCTGATTTGGCTTTTCTATTCAAAATCACTCAGTTGATTGTTTGTACAGGTTTTGGTTTTTGAACGA